TTTTTTATATTCTTTACATGGTTTCTCACTTGTGTGAATTCTCTGATATAGAGTGAGGACAGACTCATGGTAGAAAAATTTTCTACATTCATTACTTATATATGGCATTGCATCTATGTGAATTTTCTCAGGATGGCTGAGGAGTGAATTGTCACAAATGTTCTCCCCACAATTAATACTTCCATAGTACTTTTCTCCTGTGTGAATTCTCTGATGCATTCTAAGTGTGAATTCTGAGAAAAAATTTTCTCATGTTCATTACAACCATAAATCTTCTCCTGTGTAGGTATTCTCTGATTTGATGTAATGTATAATTTCTTAATAAAAGAGTTCTCACATTCAGTGTATTTACAGTGTTTCTCTCCTGTGTGCATAATCTGATGTTTAATGAGTTCAGATTTTTTATAGAACATTTCCCCACATACATCACATTGAATAGTTTTCTTTTCCACCTGAGATATTTCTTGGTCAATGACAGCTGACTTACCACAACCTTTCTCATATTCATTACACTTAGGTGGTATCATTGATATGAGTATTTTTATGTGTAAGTATTATTGACTCTGTGTTGGAGGATTTTGCTTTTCCACGGTATTCTAAAGGCAGCAGCTTTTCAAACTGTATTCTCAGTTTGAATATTCGGATGCTGACTAAGGTGTTCAAGATGTCTGGGAAATTTTCCAGTTATATGATAGTCATCAGGTTTCTCTCCAGCAGGCATCTCATCAGGCTCTCTAGGAAGAAGTGCATTCTGACATATATAAAATTCCTCATGTCCCTTTCCTGAAGAGTATCCATTATTTACAATCAGATTTCAAACATGAAAAGAATTCAAATAAAATGATTTTCCTAACACAACTCTCTCTTCAGCTGACGTGTTGCCCTTGGTGATTACAATTTGCTGCAAGCATCCAGCATGAATTTCTTGGTTCCTCTCCACTAGGTCATCTTCTATCTGGACATCTCAAATGAGAAAAAATCACTATCTATGAGCAACACATAAGCATATGTCATTGATTGTTCAAGTAAAGGTACAGAAGTGCCCTCTAATCATAGTAACAAAAGATTTTATAATACAATCAATAATATATATTGGTTTCATGAGTTTATGGAATTTCTTCTTACTGACAGTGTAATATTGTACTAATATATTTTCTAATGTTATACCATGCTTTTCTTTCCTTCTTTGTTCATTTTTAAGGTTGAATTTATGAGTAAATATTTGTTAAGAATTCTCCCCTGTGCCCTGTAGTTTTCAACTAAGTAACGTTCATTTCTTTACATCATTCTCTTTTATTTTTATAACAGTGGGTATCTCCTGCTATTGTTCTCACTATTTCACTATGAAGGTGGCTAGGCTTTCCTTCATCAGGTATTTTCAGGTACAGAAGTGAGCCAATTTTTTACCACATATGCAGGAATATGGCTTAGGATAAGGATTTTGCATTTACGTTTATATGCTTTACACTTCTTCCTTAGAAAATGGCTACAGGAATGTGGAAATTTTTCAAATAATATACTTTTCTCCAACCTAGATAAAGATAGCTTCCTCCAAGTTTTCTAACATGATATCATCTTCTTCTCATAAACCATTACAATAAAGGAAACTTCAGATCTCCACCCTAGACACCCTACTTCTGTTCTAAAATATATGGTTCTGCATCCAAGGCTGTTCCCACCATCTTTGAAAAATGTTCTTTGGACTCCTTCTCAAATGAACTTGTATTCTATTCCCAATTTCTGGTCCACAGACCACCACATGATAGTTCATTTCTTGTGAAAGCTTTTTTTGTGCAGTGAAGCTTTGGTGGTCTTCTATTCTACTAAAAATAGTCTCCTGAACATTTCTCATTTTTGTTGAATGACTTACACAAAGAAAACAGAAAAATGCTAACTTTTAACTCCACTCCCAAAGAACAATCTTATGCCCTCAACATGAAACCTTTAGTTCACTTGGCCTTGGCACTAAGACTCTCCTGGTTTTCCTTCAATGTCAAGGACCACCCCTTTCCCCTTTCTCATGCAGGGTTCTCCTCAGTTTCAGGATTTTTGATGTGGTGGTACAAGGCTCACTGCTGTACCTCTTTTCCTATTTTCTTATGGACTTCCTAGGTACTGTACTACTTTGTGACTCTGTGAAGAGTCCCCACCAGAACAATGAACCTAACCAGCTGCAGCCCCTTGAACTTAGAATGCTGACCCTGCAGAACAGACTTGTAAGAAAAAGATATATTTCTTCATCAATTACCCATTTGCGGGCATTCTGTTACAAGCAACAGAAAACAGATACAGTATGAAAAAATGTACACAAGAATTGAGGACACAAGTGCACCTGAAAACGTTGAGAAAGCAAATAGGAAAAATAAATGTCAAAGAAGACAAATGTAGGAATTAGATTTTGGGTACATGTAAAACAGATTCAGGAAAATAAAATATTGGGATGTCCATGGGTCACCAAACCTTGATGATTATGTAATATGGTCTTGAAGATGTGCCATCTTCAGGTCTGGGACTTGGGGGGAAAACTGCTGGAAGCAGCTGAACACTGCCAACATCTAATGGGCTTTACTATTTGCCTCTGCCCAATATGTTCTGACAAACCTTGCATGATCTTGTTTGGGCATTCTTCCATTGTCCATGGCTCTGCTCCTTCTTCTAACTTGACAATCACCTCAGCTTTGTTAATGTAGTGTTCTGTTAATGGGAAGAAATGTAGGACTTTTGAAAGCTGCTATATCTGATCCTCGGAAGAACAGCAAGAGCTCAGCTTCTGAAGTTGCGCAATAAAGAGGCCAATTTGAACCTCATGATAAAGAGAGATGGCACATTTTCATGAAATGTAGTCTTACCAAAATAGTATGAATCCCTATAAATGGTTCCTATATTTATGAACAAAAAAGAAACTGGTTCACCTGAAAGTTACTGGGGAGTTTTACTCAGTGACTCCAGGTTGCTGTAGGTCTCCAGCATCACATCCCTGTATTGAGCATCATTCAGGTCCTGCCACTCCTCCCAGGTGAAGTCCACAGCCACATGCTCAAATGACACCAACTCCTGTAATGATACATTGTTTCCAACTCGAGTCAACATCACGGGGTCACAAAACAGAAATATGGGAGTTGACACATATGTGTGTGCATGTGTCATATCTGTCTTCTGTAAGATGGGGGGGGGGGGTACTCCATAGAATGGAAGAAAAAATCAAATGACAAATATCCTGATACTGTAATGTTATTACTAAAAATAATATTACAAAACTTAGTTTTATACCTTAAGAAATATACCTGTTGTTAGTGATAAAAATGTGAATAATTTTTTTCTTTTTCATGGAGAGTATAAACAGGCATGAAGACATACACATAAATACATTCCTGAAATACTCTGCTAGATGAACAAATTTAAACTCAACTACAGTATGGACTGGGGTAAGAAAAAATAGAAAATATAGTTTTATTTTGTATTCAGTTTACACTTAACAGAAATGCCAAAAAGTTAAACTCTTCCATTTGAAGTGCATGGTCTCATGAATATGAGGAAACAGCAACAGACCAGTCACAAAAATATGAACACACCCCACATTAATGGAACTACACACAGCACCATGTCTGAGTGAATGATAATACACAATAGAATGATTCTGCACTTAAATATGATGTATTTCAAACAGTAAAACATTTTATGTAGTTATTGTTTTTTAATTACTTATGAATTAAAAGTACATAAAAAAGGCATTTCAAAATTTCTTTCCTATGTGCCAGTGGACTGCTTGTGTCTGCATGAGGATGTACACTGCAACTTTCTAAACCACAGGGAGCAAATAATGTGGTCCTGAAAGTAGATACTTTATTTGCATTTTAATAGTCATGCACTACACATGGAGAATGAAAAAGGCTTTTAGGGAGAGTCAGAGGGGAAGAAAACAGCATGACAGAAACCAACTACATTACAACATAGAGACAACACTATAAAAAAGAAAAAGTGAAAGAAAAAGCAGAAAAAGAACATGGTAGTAATTTGCTCTGAGAAATTAAAAAGAAGAGTTTTACTCTCAGGCTATCTACATAGTCACACCTAGTTGGGTCCTGGCCCTGTAAAGAAAAGTTTGAAAAATGGGATAAAAATATAACGGGAAAAAGTGAAACAGACTTGGATATATAATACTTGAAATATCTGTGGAAATGTCCAAGTGGCAACTGGATATATGATTCCAGCATCAAGAGATAAAGTTAAACTGATGGTAAAGATTTCAGAAGTATCAAAATTTCTATGTTATCTGAAGACATCAGAGTGAATGAACCTAACATGTTGAAAGTAAAAAAAAAAAAGGTACATAATCTGCAGAAACACTTTATCTTTAAACATAAGATAGAGGAGAAGAAAATGTGGCATTACATCATAATATATGAATTAATTCTCCCAGAAGATAATTCTTAATATGTATTTGCCTCAAAACAGATCATCAAACTATGTGATACCAAACCTAATAGAACTTCAAGGAGAAATAGAAGAATCCACCATCAAAACTGGAGATTTCAACACCCTCCATCAATAGGCAGAAAACCATAAAGACATAGTTAAACTCAATAACATGTTCTGGATAGAATGGATATCTACAGACTACTTCTTCCAACAACAGAATAGATATTCTTCCCAAACTCACATTAGAATCACTAAGACCATCTTCAGAGCATTAAAGCACACTTTAGCAAAATTAGGATAATAGAAATCATACAATATGTGCTCACAGACCACAAAGTAATTAAGCTATAAATCAGCAACAAAGCAATAACTAGAAGATCCCCAAATAGAGTGGGATTAAGCAATACACTCTAAGTAATTCATCAGTTTAAAAAAATACTCAAGAAAAATTAAAAATATTTTAAGTAAATAAATGTGAAAATGGAGCTCACTTCTTTAGAGCACAGCCTTGTAACACCAAGGTCAAGGATTTCTATTTTTGTACTGGTGAGCCACCAGGGGAAAAAAAAAAAAAAGTGAAAATGACTCTTACCAAAATTTGTAGGATACAGAAATAAGAGTGTTCTCAAAAAATGTTATGGCACTGAATGCATACATAAAAAAAAACCATACACACACATCTAAAATCAATAATCTAGGTTCCTACCTTTGGAAACTAGGGGAATATAAAAGACCTAATTAAATTGAAAGGATATAGAAGAAAAGAAATAAAAACTAGAAGAGAAATAAAATTGAAAAATAATCTGGAGAAAAAATAAGCATCTTAAAAGGTGATTCTTTAAAAAGATCAATACAATTGATAAGTCTATAATCAGGCTAAACAAAAGGTAATCAACACAAGACAGAAATTACTAATATGAGAAATGAAAGACCAGACATCACTACAGGTCCTGTGGTGAGAGTCTGAGTGGCCTGGGTGGGAAAGGCCCACCCTCAGTGTGGGTGGGAATCATCCAATCCACTGGGGGTCCAGAGAGAACAAAAGACAGAGGAAAGAGGTGGAGCTCGCTCTTTCTGCTGGAGCTGGGATACACTCTTCTCTCCTGTCCATGGACATCAGAGCTCGAGACTCTTCAGTTTTGAGGTTGTAGAATTTACACCAAGGACACCAACAGCTTCCCTGATTTTGAGGCCTTTGGACTTGGCTGAGTCACGCTACCAACATCTACTTTATAGACAGCCTATTGTGGGACTTTTCTTCATAGCCACATAAACTAATTCCCTTAATAAATCCCTCTCATATAATTATAATATATTCTATTGATTCAGTATCTCTGAAGAACCCTAGTACACATGCAAATAAGCTCAATAAAATATTAGCAAACCTAATCCAACAATGTCAAAGAGAATTATGCACCATGTGGTATTTATCCAGGTGGGCAAGGGTGGTTCAACGTATAACATCAATTGATGTAATTGATAAAATGAAAACACTAGAACAAACAAAAAATCACATTATCACATCAATAGATGCAGAAAAATCATTTGAAAAAATGCAGCATCCATTCATCTTAAAAATTCTCAGTGACCTAGGAATAGAGGGGAACATCACAACTTGATACAGATTATCTACAGGAAAACTGCAGCTAACATCATCCTTAATGGTGAGAAACTAAAAGCTTTCCCAGATAATCAGGAACAAAGCAAGAATGTACCCTCTCATCACTCCCCCAATATTGCACTAAAAGTACTGGGTAGCCATAACACAACAAAAGAAAATAAAAGATTTACAGATTGGGAAATAAATAAATAAAATTGTCTTTAGTTGCAGATGATATGATTTTCAGTGTAAAATATCCTAGCAAGTAAATGAAAACCTCTGGGAATTAATAACTGATTAGGACAAGACTGCAGGATACAACATTAATACAGAAATTAACCACTTTTCTTTACCCTAGCAATGACTAAGTAAAATTTAAGACAAAAGACACAATACTATTTACATTAGCAACTCAAAAAAGAGAAAAGAGAGAAAATCATCTGTAAGAAACTAACATGAAGAATACATTTAAAAAACACCTACAACCAAATAACAAAATGAATAATTAGATTAAAAAATAAACAAAGGCCTTTAACAGACATTTCTACAAAATTGATATACCACAAAGGCCTTTAACAGACATTTATAATTAGATTAAAAAATAAACAAAGGCCTTTAACAGACATTTCTACAAAATTGATATACCAATGTCTAACAAGCTCATGGCAGAAATGCAAAACCACAAGGAAATATAATTTCACACTGAATAGAAAATAATTATTGGCAAAATTGGAAACTGTACGCTTTTGTGAGAATGTAAAGTGGTTCAGCCCCTATTTTAAAAGAAATAGTATGGCGGCTTCTCAAAAAATTAAAAATAGAATTATGATAGGATTCATAAATCCAAGTTTTGTGTATATATCCAAAATAATACCAGAATCTCTAAAAGATATTTCCACACCTGTGTTCATAGTAGCATTACTCACAGATTTAAGAGGTGAAAGCAACCCAAATGTCCAGCCATAAATGAATGGATAAATAAAATGTGGTATATAAATAAAAAGATATAATAGCCAATCTTAAGAAGAAAGGAAATCTGGACATATGCTATAACATGGAACCTTGAGGACATTATGCAAAGTGAAATAAGACAGTCACAAAATGACAAGTATTGTATGGTCCCACCGAGAAGAGTCAAAGTTACAGAAACACAAAGTAGAATGGTGGTTGCCAGAGGCTAGGAGAAGGGGAAAATTGAGAATGGTCATTTAATTTATATAGCATTATAGTTTTCCAAGATAAAAATCTTGTGGATATCTCCTGCACAACAGTGTCAATATACTTAACACTATGTAAAAGTTAAGAAATGATTCAAATAGTAAATTTTATGCTATATGCATTTTACCAAAATTAAAAATAAATTACTTTAAAAGCCAATAGACGGACAAAACTAAAATGTTTTTTTAAAATGAATTAATTGCTAAAAAGTTAGAAAATAAAAAGCAGAGGATTAAAAGGCAGATGAGGCAAATAAATAGGAAACTGCAAAGTGGCACACTCAAATTAAACAATATCAATAATTAGTTTAAATGGAATTGCATTACATATTTTACTTAAGGCAAAGAATGTCAGATTTTATAGAAAAGTAAGACCCAACAATATGTTGTCCAGAGAGCTACACTTTAAATACAAAGAAACAGGGCCGGCCCGTGGCTCACTGGGGAGGGTGCGGTGGTAATAACACCAAGTCCATGGGTTCGGATACCTATATAAAGATGGCTGGTTAGCTCACTTGGGTGAGCGTGGTGCTGACAACACCAAGTCAAGGGATAAGATTCCCTTACCGGTCATCTTTTTAAAAACTAACTAACTAAATAAATAAATACAAAGAAACAGACTGTATGTAAAATAATGAAAAATATATCTACCATAGCAACACAAATTATG